GGTTGAGGCTGTAGCGCTATATTGTCAGATAAGGTAGCCACTAGTTGCATGTGGCTTTTTAAATTTAAGTTATATAAAGTTTAAAATCCAGTTCATCGGTGACACCAGCCACATTTCAAATACATAATAGCCACATGTGGCTAATGTCTTCTGTATTGGACAGTGCAGATTATAGAACATTTCAATCATCGCAATACATTGGATAGCGCTGTTGTAGAATGGGTTGAAAATAGGGTCATCTCCCTTGTCACTTTTGATTGACTGATGATAGCTTGTCTGAAGGACTTTGTAAAGAAGATTCTGAGGCCATATCTAAGTGATCCCCAAATTGTTTGATTATTAGTAATGTATGTCCTAGGAAGACAGAGCTGGATGGGGTGGGGATAATTGTGACATAGGTGCTGAGTGTCCTAGACAAAACCACAGAAGTAAGAATAGAATATTTAGGGCCGGCTCAGTGGCGCGATGGTTGGGGCCTGGCTTGGGGCGCCGGAGGGCCCCGGTTCGGATCCCACGTGTGGGGTCCGGTGGCGCTGCCCCCCACGGCTAGGATGCTGAGCAGCGGCTCTGCCCGGAGCTGGGCTGCTGTGGGTCGCCTGCGACGGCGTGGGCTGCAGCCCCTGTGGCGGTGGGTTGCCGTGGGCTGCCGTGTGTGGCCGGCGTGGGTGGCCAGTGGCCGCGGTGGGCGGCCGTCCAGAGGCCGGCGACTGGTCTGTCTCGCCCGAGGGGAGCGCGGTGGTGGTGCCAACTTGGGCCGGTGGGGCGGCGTCCTCCGCGGCTGGACTGAGGAGCAGGGCGGCAGCGGCTTGTCTGTTCCCATCCCCCCAATTCTCCGGCGCTGTTCCCATCCCCCAATTACACAGTGAAAATCTTTAAAAAAAAAAAAAGAATAGAATATTTAGAGGGGAAGTTTATTATTTAATAGAGACAGGTTATTTTTTTCTTTTTGAAAGCAGGAATCCTTTGGAAATAAAGATGAGAAGCTTTGAAAGTTTTCTTATTCCTTATCTAATCTCTCATTTAAGTAGTGGTCACTTTTGCTATTTCTCAAAATAAATTAATGATGCTTTTTGCTTTTGTGTAGAAGGAAATCACAATGGCTACCAATTCTTGATTTATCCATGAAATATGGAATGGATGTTACATGAAAAACCCCGCCAACAGTCCCAAATTAGCTTTGTGTTCATGCCACTTCTACTATGCTGATAGGAAACAAAACTTACTGAGAATGGTTTTTCCTTTGCTTCTTTAATATCCTCTGGTCAAGGGTAACAAGGGAGAAGTAAAATTTACAGGAAAGAAGGAAAAGCTGGTCTAGTTTGGTATAACTGATCCCTTTATCTCACTGTTTTCAGAATTTGAGGCCTGTATCTGATGATATTTTCAAAAATCTCTAATAACTAAGGGTAACTAGTTTCAAAGCTAGAAAATGGATTTTAAACCAAGAGTACCAGCTCTGCAACTCTTAGGTGACCTTGAGCAAATTACCTGCCATAACGTCTCTGAGCCTTAGTTTCTCCATCTTTGAAAGGGAGCATAACAGTATCTACCACTGTGCATAAGGGGTAAGGAGTGAGATAGAAAACCTCACTTCCTTAGACGTGCCTGATGCTACTGCTGTAAGGACTCGAATGCTAAACCGTATTATTTGGAAAAAGTGTACCACACGCACTTAGAAGAGGACATTTTCTGCTGATCTTAGCCCTCCCCTGAGTAGGTATGTCACTGTCCTCTGATTGTTTGCCGCTCTCCATTTTAGTTTCCGCTTTTGTCAAATGACATAACAATAGAGCCTACTTCAGAGGGCTTGTTCAGGGTTAAATGAAATAATGCACATCAGGATGATGCTAGGCCATGGCACGGAGTGAGCGTTCAGTAACTGTTCGCTGTTATGATGAAAATGATGATGTTTAAATTAGGGGCTGCCTTGCCAATAGAGAGGAGATACACCAATCTGATATGTCTTCTCCTTCGTAGTCACTAATCTGCAAACTATACAGTTTATACTAAACATGGTAAAGTGCATACAGTTTGTTTATTTTATTGCTGTTTCACTGTAAATTATTAATAAACCTCTGTCATTAGGTTTTTGGAACAACTGATGGAGGTAGTTGTTGGAGAAGCTGTTCGCTAGCATAAAGACCTTTGTCACTTTGTAGGAGTTTTACAAGCTGCAAGCCCGTGTCTAACTTGAAAGGCCTGATGTTTAAGGCCAGGGATCAGGGCAGGAAGGAGGAGGGCTCATTGTGCGGAGGGAGGGAGTTCAATCCTGTGGGGAGCATGTTTGTCTGAGAACCGGATCTATGTTGTCTCTGGGATGCAGGAAGGAGGCCAGGCTCTTCAAAGGCAAGGGGGACGGGCAGAGAACGAATGCTGCCGTAATCTGCCATGATATTTTCCCTATCCTTCAGGCAGTGCATCTTTCTTCTCCTCCTGGTATAATAACAGCAGAAGGTGGTCAGAAATGATAAGCCATCTTCTGAAGATGGGTCCACACTGGAGGGTGCAGCCCGAGTGTCCCGTACCTCCATCTCTACAGACACCAGAAATCACTCTTGACCTATGAGAAATGGTTTTCTTCCCAACAAAAATATTTTGGTCCTTTGGTGTGAAGTCCTAGGATATTTTTACTTATTGAATTCTGTAACTACGAATGAAGCACTATACTGTTGCTAAAAATGACTGTTTTTCTTTCAGAATTTTCAGATTTTTTAAAAATCCAGAATTTTTCTGTTTGTAAATGTCAAAATTACTAGGTTCTTAGGACATCTTACAGAACACTTTTCTTGGAATTTACATCTTTTTCGTCACTGTTCTTCCGTGTCTCATATTCAACACCCTCTATTCAACTTTGTGTGTCCCCTCTTGTCAGCATCCCCTGTGCATCTCATTTTTAAATGCTTCTCAGACTATCTTCTGTTTTCTGATCTCACTCTTGCTACCTAGGTTTTAAACTTATCACCTCTCATCTGTATTTCTTATAACTTAAAATTTTTCTTTTGGATTTTAAAAGTAGTAACATGCCCAGTATAGGAAATTTGGAAAATATATAGGTAAGTGTAAGGAAGAAAATAAGTCACCATTCAGAAATAGATGCATTTTATGTTTTGGATTTTTATTTCTAGTCCATTATGAGTGTGTATCTGTGTGTGCATGCATTTAAGGAAATTTGGATCTGCTTTCTATATAGTTTCATATTGTGATTTTTTTTAACTCGAGATATCAGCATGTTTATATATCACTAAATATATTTTTTTTAAATTCTAATGGGTACACATTGGGTTGTCGGAAAAGTCATGACGCATTTTTGCAACGAAAAACAGGAAAAATATGTCATGACTTTTCCGACAACTCAATAACATTGGAAGAGAAAATTGTATTTAACAATACTATTAGCTATTTATTTAATTTATTATTATTTTTTTAAGATTTTTATTGAGGAATTGGGGGATGGGAACAGTGCTGGGGAATTGGGGGAAGGGGAACAGACAAGTTGCTGTTGTTTTGTTCTTCAGTCTAGTTGTGGAGGATGTTGCTTCACTGGCCCAAGTTGGCACCATCATTGCACTCTTCCCGGGTGAGGTAGATCAGTTGCCGGCTTCTGGACGGCTGCTCATGGTGGCTGCTGGCCGCTCACGCTGACTCCTGGCTACACACGGTAGCCCATGGCAGCCCACTGCAGCAGGGGCTGCAGCCTATGCCGATGCCGGTGATTCACGGCAGCCCAGCTCCAGGTTGAGCTGTTGTTCAGCATCTTAGCTGTAGAGGGCAGTGTCACTGGCCCTCATATGTGGGATCTGAACCGGGGCCCTCTGACGTCCCAAGCCAGCTCTTAACCAACGCGCCACTCGGCCGGCCCACTATTAGCTTTTTAGATCTCCTTTTTCTCCATTTAGATCTCCATTGATTGATTAAAATCAATGCTCGTTTTCAAAATCTGTTCACAGTATGGTGTAATGGGTGACAACATGGGCATTGGAGAACCAAACATCCTGGTTCAGATCCTAGTTCTGCCATTCCTAGTGGATTCCTAGGCCTCGGTTTCCTTCTTTGTAACATGGAGGTTATAATAGTACTTGCTATCAGAATCATGACATTTTAAATGAGGTGCATATAATGTACTCATTTACACAGTTTGGCACATCACAAATTCTTCTAAATAGTAACTGCTAGTAGAATAGTCACCATCGTTAATCATATGTAATTGTTTTAAAGTATAGTTCCTAGAAGTTAGATAATAGCACCAAAGTGTACAAATATTTTAATAGTACCTTTAATAATACATTGCTACATTTATTTCTAAGAAAGATTCTACTAATTTATAGCCACATAAATAGTGTAAGCACCTGTCACCTCTTGCCATTATTAGGCACTGTATTTTTATTGTGTATACTGATGTAACACACAAAAAGGGTATGTTGTCATTTACGTTGTTTTGATTGCCCGTGGAATTGATTAACTTTAAATGTTTAATTGGCTAATTGTATTCCTTCTTTATAAATTGTTTACTGAAGTCAGTGCCCATTTTTCTAGTGACGTGCATCTTTTTTCTTTCTAAATCAATGAATTCTTTTTATATTGTAATTATTACTATTTATAACTAAAACTTATTGAGCATTTAGAACTTTCAGGTGAAGAAATAAGGGCCAGAACTACTGAGCAGTTTGCCTAGTTTCTTAGAACCTTGCCTGGCACAGAGTTAATACTTAGTAAATTCTTACTGATTTTGTTACTCACCTTTGTATTTTACAGCACCTAGGGCAGTATAGTGCTTTGCTCATAGGAGTAAAATAAATACTTAACTCATATTGACACCAGCCACCCTCACTCCTGCTCTTCGATGGGCACAGAAGCCAGCCCCTAATGGGTGCCTTTGTCACAGCCACTGAGCTCAGATAAGTCAGCATCTCCTGGACTTGACTTGATTTTTCCCATATGTTTTTAATGATACTTTTCTAAAGCTCTTTAAAATCAGGTTATTTCCCTCACTTCATTTCTAGGTAACAAACCTGAATTTGGCAAGTGGCATCATAAACAGAAGCAGTGCTTCAACTCCCCCTACCCTTCGGCCTGTCATCAGTCCTAGTGGCCCGACATGGTCAATACAGTCAGATCCCCAAGCTCCTGAGAGCCTCTCCACCCCTCCTGGAAGCAGGTATGTGAAGGGCTATGGAGCTAACGTTGGGGTCACACAGGGATGGCCTGGGTCCTAAGCAAGTCATTCCCACCTTGAGCTCCCTGCACTGACGCTGGTCAGACGAGGCACCTTTCTCACCTGTCCCAGTCCCACAGCACAAACTATAGGGCTCATTTTACTTGTAAGACAGTCTGTGGGCGAGTCAAATGAAAAGGAAATATCTGATACAGTTCAGTAAGTTCACTCCCAGGTGAAAGAACAAGAAGTTATACTATGTTTAATTCCTGACTACACTTAACATTTTCATGTATTGATTTTCTCTTCATCTCCTAATTCTTTTTTATATCTTCTGCTACATTGTGTTTCAGTAACTTTGGACTCTTCTCTTTTGAAGGACATATTTGTTTTTTATGTTTTTATCTAGATTATAGCATTAAACTCAAATGGCCTCCCTGGACAATGTTCATTGGGGAAGTAGGAAGGAAGTTTCCTTTATGTAGTTGAGAAAAGTAGCAGAGGATAAAATCCAAATAGATTCTGACCATAAAGTAAGCAACCTCTGAATTAAAAGAGAAACCACTGTATTGAATTCTAGCCTTTATTCATATTTTAAATCCCCCTGTATAAAACATGTAAGAAAGGGATTCCCAGTACATCTTGCTTTAGTGGCCGTTGAATATGTATTTAATTGCATCTGTTCCTGAGCCCAATGAGCTAGAGAGGAATGTGATTATTAAAGTGAAGATCCTGACCAGCTGAGATCTTGTTCCCTCCAAATAAAGCTCTACCATCGGTGTCTCACCAAGTCCCCACATCCTTGCCTAGCACTTCCAGCCTCTGCTAAACAGCCTTCTCTTAATGTGCTGACTTGCCCTGAGGTTGGGAGGGGTGACTGAAGACTTGGGCATGGAGGAAATACGTAATTGTTGTCAAAGTATCTGTTGGTGTTAGAATTATTTCTTAAGGAAGCCATTTGGGAAGCAGAGACTCTGCCCAGGGAACAGCATAAACATAAACACATTATATCATGCTCTGGTCCAGTGTCTTTCGTACCACCAGTCACGGTGGTCAAGGGTGAAAAGAATCGTCTGGACTGAGAATTACAAAGAGTTGAAGATGAAGAGGCAGGGCTTTTCAAGGCAGGACATCTTCGCACACAGTTCTTTTCTTTTCACAGGAGAAGTCTGTCGTTTGGTGGTTTACAATCTATAGTAACTGCATTCCTAAACTATAAGTCGTAAAAAAGAAATTCTGTTTATACCATAGAGCTTTATTTTCCATATAAAATATATCCAAATATTCCATTTTCATTTCACAATCAGAGCCTTGTTTCTATGGAAAACATTTTCACTGCAATCTTGGATATATTATCTATATGACAAGGCTACAGCCATTTTCCATACTACAAACAAAGTATAATAACTACACATTTTGGTGAAGTAGAGTTTTAGCATTCGTTATACTTGTAGATGGAATGAGAAACATTTAAAAAAAAGAAAAAATAGAGCCTGGTCTTGGGGTAGCACCTGTTAGTGCCGAGACACAGAAAGATGAAGGGATCTGTCAAGGTCAGAGCCAGGATCTAGAGTCCAGCACTGGAAGTGGACTTCTTCCCCCAGCCAGACTGTGCTTGTGAGCTGTGGTAGAATGGCACATTGTATGATCTGCTTTAGAGCCATGGGCACCAGAAAGCAGTCCCCACAAGCTCCCTACCTCCCCCACAGCAACCCTCTCTTCTCCTGCTCTTCAAGCTTAAGGGCCAATTTTTAGGTCCCATCCCAGTCCAGGGAAGTCCTGGGAAATCTTCCCCTGCCCCCAGGTAACCTCTGGTTTCCAGGAAAGCCTAGAAGCTCGGTTTCTGAGTTCCAGTTCTGTGTGGAATTCCCAGAGGTACCTAGGCTAAAGCGGCCCTGAGAGAATTCTCAGAGGTCCTTCCAGGCCTGGCTGTGATGTGGGCCCCAGCCAGCACTCCAGCAGGCATCCTGCACAGTACCATGCCCCAATTTCTATTTTTACTTGGTAAGTCAATGTTTTGTGGATATTTATTTAGTCTCTTCTTGTTCCTTAGTAGTGAGGGTGACTAAGTTTAATGAATAGGGGATTAGTAGCTTAGAGATGTGAGTTTTTATTACTGGTTTTGACACTAAGTGACCCTAAACTATTCATTTAATCTTTTTATTAGGTAAGCATACTTACATATAAACTGGCTTGTTTTGAGAGCTTTTAGATTGCCCTTACGGCACTTTGATCTCCCTAGAAGTGGGTGCTAAGTAAATAAAGGGTACTCTCACTTGTTCTTCTACAATAGCAACAGTGGATTCCAGTGCCGATACACGCTGATAATTCACGAAACGAAGGGCTGTCCTGTGAACAGTAACAAGATGTAAAGGGAGTCCATTGCTGGTTGTACTTTTCATCAGGATTCAGTGACTTGGTAGCCACAGGAATGAAAACTGGTGACTCACGAGAACTCTGCAAATAGTGTTATTTTTCATTTCCCTGTGGTGTTGCTATTGTTCTCAATTTTATGGATCACACAAGTTTTCACCAGACAACCTTGTTCTTCCCCCGCTTTTGAAACCATCCCAAGTGTAGCCTCAGGGCTGTCGTCTCCCATTGGGTCAGTGTGAGCTCAGCCCAGCTCCTCAAATCCCTTGGTTCCTTTGGTCTGTCTGGAGTCCCTGTTCAAGCTTTGTTGTGGGAGAGAAAGGCAAAGAGCCCACGACTTGCCCAGACAGTCTGAGGCCTGGCCATGTAGCTTGCAGTTCCCTAGACGCTCTGGAGTTGGACTTGGCCAGCCATTCCTCTGTTGTTACTTTTCAGAGGTAATAAGTGAGATTAATTGCAGGCCATTCTCCAGAAGAGAAAGTTGTCAGGGCCAAATACAGTCACATGTTGAGAAGCCTGAGGTGTGCCTCCAAGCAAGGCCAATTTAGAATTATACAATAGGGCCTCCAGGATGCAGGTACCAAGTGTTCATGGCCTCTTTTTTTCTTAAAGGGATCGTATTCAGTTTCTAGATTCTGATACCTGGGGATTGAAGCTTTTTTTTAGCCAATGAGATAGGTAGGATTTTTCAAGCTGCGTTTTAAGTATCTACTGTCTGGGCACATGGGCAGTTGTTAGGATCTGCGAATTGATATGCAGACGCATCTCCTCATTGCTGCCAGCCTCCCATGGGTTTGAACCACATCGATAAGGAGCACTTCTAGGTGAGGAACACTCTGAAGGCTCACTATGCATTTTTCTTTGTGAGACCTAGAAGGGTTACTGTAAAGTCTTGGCTGCTGCTTGGAATGATTTGGGAAGGACAGGGCCTCAGACGGCTTGGCAGGAACCTGAGGCCCTGTTTTTTTCCAGTCCAGCCCTTCCTTGTAGATCGAGCTGTCAGGGAATCCCACGAATGTCTGGCTTCTGCCCCTTTGTATATTTTTCCAGCATTTGTCATTGAATTATTTTTATCCATCTCTGGCTTTTCACGCAACCTGAGGATTTGTCTGTTCCTCGATGTTAAAGGTGGGGGAGGTTGGAAGCACAGCCCTGAGTTTGCTCCTCTTTGTCGTGACAGGGCAAGACGTCATGGGCACGGACTGTGCGGCCTGGCCGGCCCCCGCTCTACAGAACAGCTGTACGTCGGCTTTAAATTCTGTACTGGGAGTGGGGTACGTCGAAGCACGAAATCTTGGAAATTTGGGCCACATTTTGTGTCACCCTGCCCCTCTGTGCTCTTGCTTTTCAGTAATAAATTATAGAGAGCCTGGTACTCTGCTTCACATAATTTTTAAGAATATGTTTTTCAGAGATTCTGATTCTAATTTCACTAACACTTTCCTCCCTTCCTTTAGGTTATTTCTTACCAGTGTTGCCCGAGATTTGGGTTGTGGACTTCCCATCTTTTCATTCTCAATCAGTCTTCAGAAATAATGAGTTAGTTATTTTTCTTTAAAAAATACGTTCTATTCATTTTCTACAAGTCAGTCATTGTGTTAGATGCTGGGAAATAGTGATAAATAAAATAGAATAGTCCCTGATCTCACAGAGTTTACTGTCCAGGCTGTATCTTCCATGTTCTCAGCAGGGTGCTAGGTGCTGGGTAGGGTCTAAAACACTGAAGACATGGTGTTCGATCACTAGTGGAGAGAAGGAGCCATATGCGAGGTGTGACAATTAAGTTCACGGACTTGTTGCAGCGATGTTGCTAACCTTTTTTGATATCAGAGCGATTATTCATTATGAATTTGTACCAACTCGACAAACAGTTAACCAGGTTTACTATTTGAAGTGCTGAAAAGGCTGTGTGAAAAAGTTAGATGACCTAAATTTTTCACCAACAATTCATGGCTCTTGCATCACAACAGTGCACTAGCTCACACGGCACTGTCTATGAGGGAGTTTTTAGCCAGTAAACAAATAACTGTATTGGAACACCCTCCCTACTCACCTGATCTGGCCCCCAATGACTTCTTTCTTTACCCGAAGATAAAGGAAATATCGAAAGGAAGACATTTTGATGACATTCAGAACATCAAGGGTAATACAATGACAGCCCTGATAGCCATTCCAGAAAGAGAGTTCCAAAATTGCTTTGAAGGATGAACTAGGCGCTGGCATCGGCGCATAGCTTCCCAAGGGGAGTACTTTGAAGGTGACTGTAGTGGTATTCAGCAATGAGGCATGTAGCACTTTTTCTAGGACGAGTTCACGAACGTAATTGTCCGACCTCATACACATGGAACAATTAGCAGTGTTAGGCAGCATATGTTGAGGATTTAAATGGCACAGGCAATCAGAAGAAAAACTATCAAGAGGCGTATATAAGGGGACCGAGTGGCACGTTGGTTAAGAGTTGGCTTGGGACGCCAGAGGGCTCCGGTTCAGATCCCACATATGAGGGCCAGTGACACTGCCCTCCACAGCTAAGATGCTGAACAACAGCTCAGTCTGGAGCTAGGCTGCTGTAAGTCGCCTGCGGCGGTGTAGGCTGCAGCCCCTGTGGCAGTGGGTTGCCATGGGCTATCATGTGTAGCCAGCAGCCAGCGTGAGCGGCCAGCAGCCGCTGTGAGCAGCCGTCCAGAAGCTGGCGACTGATCTGCCTTGCCCGGGAAGAGCGCAATGATGGTGCCAACTTGGGCCAGTGAAGCAACGTCCTCCACTACTAGACTGAAGAACAAAAAGGACAGCAGCTTGTCTGTTCCCATCCCCCAACTCCCCAATTTTAAAAAAATTCTTCAAAAAAAAAAAAGAGTATATAAGGATTTAATCCTGTCACATGCTACAACATGGCTGCACCTCAAGGACATTACGCTGAGTGAAATAAACCAGTCACAAAAGACTAACCACTGTATGATGCCACTCATGAAGTAGCTCAAGTAGTCAAAATCATAGAAACAGAAAGTAGAAAGGTGGTTGCCAAGGGCTGGGGGAGGAGGAGGGAAGGAATTAGTGTTTAATGACTATAGAATTTGAATTTTGCAACTTGAAAAAGTTCTAGAGACCTGGTGTACAACAGTGTGACTATACCTAACACTACTCAACTATGCATATAAACATGTACAGTAGGTTAAGAATAAATAAGGGTAATAAGAATAAAATGGTTAAGATGGTAAATTTAAAATTATGCTTTTTTGTTTTTTAAATCACAATAAAAAAGAAGAGGAGTATGTAAGGTTTTAAAAGAGAGCCCCAAAGTTCAGCAAAAGTTATTCAGTGACCAAAATGGTAAGGTTTTGTTTCCACCCTCTGCCTCTGTTTAGGGGAATTATCCTGAACCTAGACCTTTGAATGCTTCTATTTATTTAAAAGGTTGTTAACTTTATAGGAAGGGGGCCATCCACCCCTGTTAGGGAGATGGCATGGGGTAGTAAAAAGACAAGGGATTTTAAGACAGACAAATCAGGCTTTGCCTTACTGAGTCTGTGACCTTGGGCAAGTTACTTAGCTTCTCTGAGCCACAATTCTCCAATCTGCTTAAAATACAGATAGTAATACCTACCTCATTAGGTAGTTATAAGGTTAATTGAGTTGTGTATGTGAAAGTAGCCAATATAGTGCCTGGTTTTGGTGTAAGTTCTTGATAATAGTTTTCTTTCCAGAAAAAAAAAGAAGAAACTTAAAATTGGACTTTCTTGGGACATGGTACTGCTACACCGGTTATTTTAGTGTCTAGTTTAGAGGAGACTGGCCTTCACCCATGCGCAGTGTGCTCCTGGAGCTGGGTTCCAGAGATGTGGCCTTTCCAACTGTGGAAGGGAAGGCATCAGAGTGGGGCCAACAGGAGACTCTTCCTTTTTCTTTGACCCCTTTGTTGAAGGGTGACTTCTCTCTACTTAACAGGCCTTTCCTCTCTGCTATCTTCTTCTGATTGTTGAAATTTCCATTGCAGCTTGATGTTCCAGCCAGTAAATACTCATATTTTCCGTCTATCCTGGGGGTCGAGCTTTGGGAGAGCTTTTCTCTGGAGGAGTTTGGAGCTTATAATTTTGTACTTTATCCTGTTATATAAACAATGCTTTCTAGCCAAAGAGCACAATCACAAAAAGAAACCACTTGGGGAGGGGGGGCTAAAAAAAAAAAAGAACTCTTTCATGTTCAGAGTTCTGTAGAAATAATATTTCACTCCTTCTTCTCCTTCCTTCTTTCCCATAGAATAACGTTTACCTGACCTCCCTCCTCCTGAGTCCTAGCTCTCACCATTCCTTCCCCTGAGTAAAGCGTTTCTCTGGCACATGAGTGATAAAGGCCTGTACTTCTCTCTGAAATTCCTCTGCTGCTTTTTTCACTTGGCCAGATACATAATCTCTCAGGGGTCATGTTCTGTGTCAGTCCAAGCTCTGTGACAGATTGTACAGTTCCTCGTTCACCAAGAGAGCTGAGTGCCATGGGCGTTTGTGCCAAGGCCAGAAGGATTGGGCTTCTGCCTATTGAAGGAATGTTGGTAAACTTAGGAAATGTGTCAAAGATAGCTGGCTGGAAATCATACCAGGACCTAGGCAAAGTAAGTTTGGGACTGGGCCTAGGATCAGGCCAAAATAAAATGCAGCTCGCTTTGTGGTTTGCAAGTGTAGCATTTTCCAGTTTAGTTTGTCTCCCCCGCTGCCCCCACAAACTATTAAAGATAAACCACCTTACATTTCCTTAGGATTCTCTTTGTGTCTCTCTCTCTCTCTCTCTCTCTCTCTCTCTCTCTCTCTCTCTCTC